ATCTATCAAAGTCTAGTCCAGTCTCCTTTTATTTCTATCTTACTTAAATTGAAAAGGCTTTTATTAGTACCGGCAACGATCTAGCAAAAAGAAAAAGAAAACAGTGAGTTGATAACTAGTACGACTGCAATTGATTCGAGTTATATCAGTAGCCGCATCAACACGGCTACCCAATTGGAAGCATAGAAAGGCTGATTCCGAAAATAAGCTTCGGTATATTCCAAATGCTTTCTTATAGAGCGTTTTCACTCACATGACCAGCATCTACGCAAATTTATTAAAACAAAAGAGAGTGCTTACATAAAAAAAGAGTTCAACTCCCACAGGATTGGTTTGGAATACCAACATGGTCGCCGTTCTATTGTTTTGGAACACCAATATGGCCGCGATGACGTCATGTGAAAACGCTCTATAGGAGCCTATAAGAGGGGAAATTGGCATTTGATTAATGGTTGATAGGAACCATAAGCTGCATAATAACATTACCCTGATCATAGATATGAAATACAGTAAAACTCCGCAACTAAGAACCTGGATTTTATGAACCTGTTAGGCTAAATTTTGCAGTTAAGCTTCCTCTATATAAGAAGCTGTTTAGCTTAAAATTTGAAACAGGTACTTATTTTCTAAAATCTATGAAAAAATTCTGTACACTTGGGCAAATAAGATATTTAAGTCAACATTAAGAATCCTCTTTGGAGACCGCAAAGTAAATCAAATAAAATTGTTATTGGTACAATTACTAATTAAATACTGAGGTATAAAAATTATATGAGCAATAAGATTTATATTTTTTGGTATGCAATTTTAAATGAGGAATGAGCTGAACAACTAAACACTCTTAGCTATATTGTATTAATTTCTTTAGATAATAAGAACCTATTTATATACGAACTTATTAATAGCCCAAACTTGTGCTAACTACCATTAATATAAGAAGAAAAAAAAAGAAAAGAAAGAGGAAAAATTCGATCCAGGTTCTTAGTCGCAGTTTTTCACTGTATTGAACGAAACCACAAATGGTAGCACAATAACTGACTTTTCAACAACAGTGTCTGCAACTGTATAAAAAAATTCTTTTATGGAGTAGAGTACATAGAAATGTAACTTTTGGAAACTTGCGTCAGGCTTTTGGATATACATAGCACGTTCCCAAAATATGAACCCAAGGGTCTCATCTAAAAAGGGACTTTTAATAGTTGGGGGGGCTTTTTCACTTTTTCCGATTTGGGGCCATGAGGGGCTTATAATTTAAGCAGAAGAACTCATTTTCTCAGTTTTACACCATTATTTGCTTAATTGTCAATAAAAATTAAACCATTTTTTTAACTATTGACTTGATGAAGCTCAAGCCAGAGTCGAATCCATTTCTACAGTCCAGCTAATTGTGGACGGAAGTTACCCTATCGTTTATAACTTTTTTGCTAAAGGCTGGAGGATCCACTAGGAAATTCTCTATTGCCAGACTTGAAGAATCAAACCTGAATTACCGGCTGGATAACTGAAGCATCGATTGTGTATTATGACAATTTCAGTAGATCTTTATTCCTACTTATTTAAAAATTCGTCATTCTTTTTTTGCAGCCTGCTTAAGGCCATCACCTCTCCTGATTTCATGGAACAATGACGTCACTTTACAACTACAGAAATGGCGGCTTTCCGCCGTCAAGTAAATTATTGAGTAAGATGTGGAACTACGAAAATTATAAAAGACATCGTAAAAAGGTGAGTCTTCCATCGCTGTAAAACTAAGGTGTGAGATGATAGAAGGCCTCTGTTAAAGCCTTATAGGCTGTTAGTTCTTAGGCTGCGTGCAAACGGACGCAACAACTCCCAACATTGTTGCGCCAACAATGTTGGGACCTGCGGTGCATCGTGGGAAGGATAAAACCCGTAAGTCTTTGTAAACCATGCGTAATGAGCGTGCGTGGCCCCAACAATGTTGGAAGAGCTGTGCAAACGGATCAAACATTGTTGCGCATTGTTGGAAGTTGTTGGCTGAAAAGTTTGACCGGTTTCAAACTTTGCGCAACAACATGCAACAACATGCAACAGGGTGTGCAAACGGACGCAACATGTAACATCCAACAATTTTGGAAGTCGTTGGCCAACAATTTTGCGTCCGTTTGCACGGGGCCTTACGCGCCACGTTTATAAGTTTGAGTAAATCAAGTGAATAAATAATAAAACTAGGTGAAAACAATGATCATGAGCATGGTGTTCTTGTTGCTGTTACAATGAGGATGGGCTCCTGATGATGATGATGTTGATGAAGAAGATGATAAAAAGTGTTCACACAGGAAGTGACATCATCATCTTTATCATCATCATTATCTTTTTCTTCTTCATAATCATCGTCAAAAAAGATAGAGAGACTTCCATAATGTGTCCCCAGAAACCGACTTACTAGTAAGCTTTTTATTTCGCAAAGAACTGCTAGTTTGACAGTTTTGAAATTGAAGGAAAATGTTGTTAACTAGTAGATCGGAAGGGAGCGACCTTATTTACGGTATTTCCTCACAATTCTCTTCAATTCCCCACTCTATCATACTGGTTCTCTATAATTCCTCTTCCGCACAATTAACATTAGTGTAAAGATCGAAATTAAGACAGTTTTTATGATTTTTGTCTCGGTGAATGGTGTAGATTAAAAGTAATATATGACCATTGAACATTAAGTTAAGCTTTGCTTAGCGGGAAATTAAATCATGATTTACACGAAAAATGTAAAATGATGTAATGCATGCAGGTGAAATTTTAACATAAGATGGTTAAAGGTGGATTCAAACCAAAAAATTATTACGCACAGAAACATTCAGAATAGAAGAGATGTTGATCAGAGCAAACCATTTTACTCGAGTTTTCAAATGCCAAATGAACAACTTTTTAAAGGCATCGATCGCCTCTGACGGATGGGAACTGTCGTCCCATGTAAGGGAATACGGATTCAGGAATCCGGAATACAGCTTAAGGAATACGAAATCCCACCTACGATTGAAATTCAGAATCCGGAATCCAGAATCCCAGTTCCACTGACTGCAAAGACTGGAATCAACTACCTGGAATACGGAATCCACATTGTGGTATCAAGAGTCCAAGAACTGTCTTAGATCAGACTCGTACCCAGTCGCTTCTCTATATGCGCTGTGATTTATGGGAAAGATTTAGCGAGTTCGCGGTGCCTTCCAGGGAAGGACGAAAGAAAAACGCGAAGTTTTTGTCACTTTTCCTCCCTCCTTCCCAAGCGCGTCAAATTTCTGTTCCACATTCCTTTGCGAGAATAAATAAGTGGCGACTGGGTACGAGCCTGGTCTTAAATTTCCTTACACGAGGCGTGAACTTTGCATAGTCCCTAGTGCTCATTATTCCGCGCGACCAAAACTTTTCAGTTCAGTTTGCCGTGTGCTTATCCGAAAAAACGGGATCCACTAGCTAACTTTGTGTTACGCGAATTGCTTTTAAGGTTTAATTTATGGGTTTTTAAATAAAACTTTTCGAGCAATAATCAGTTCTCTATCTTTTGTTGTGTGTTCTTTTATTGATAACGTTCAGCTCAAAAAAAAAAAAAGAGACTACAGCAACCAAAGTTGTAATTGAATTTAATGCTTCTCACATTACACGCAACACTTCTGCGAATGTCGGTGAATCTTATGGGATTTTTACCTTTAGATTCAGTACTTGGGCAATTTTCGATACGCAGCTAGCTAATGAATTTTTATTTGAAAGTATGTTTTTTCTGATTGTTCAATATTTGCGCTCTAAATTTACTTCACAGAGGATCACTAAAGTATCATTTTTACTTAGAAAATTCGCGCGGCCGTTTGAATGGGTTAAGAACTACAAACTCCGATAATTTAGCTCGAATGACGGAGATTGAAAGGAGCAGAAATCAATCATCAAAGGACTATGAATAACATTCTAATGACTTTTCAAAGCCATGGGCAAAAGTCGATCTCGCAAATATCCACAAAGTTTTTTTAAAAAACTATAATGCCCTTTATTTACAACTTCTTTAATTCATCTTGAATAATTAAAAAAGCAACGCACGGAGGCGCATTCTGTTTTTGGCTAAGCGTTCCTCGGCTACGTCACCGAAGTGAATTGACCGAGAGGGCCTGGGTAAACGCCGTACAGGGACTAGGCAGGCGAGAACTGAGGAGCTGCAAAAGTAAATGCTATTCGAAGTACGATCACCTGAGTAGATTTTATTCGAGATACTCTTGAAAATTCACGTGCGACAAATGAGCCGCATGACACGCTTCGTACGACTGCTTGATAGGTCTAACCCTCCAAGACCCTCCAAGTGAGAAGAAACTTAATGGTGACGGCCAGGTGATGAAAGCAAGTAGTTTTCAAATGATGGAATTGAACTTGTGTAGGGATATCAGTTTCTTCATGCATTCGCGTCTTGATCGCCTTCTGAGGTAGCGAAAAACACGCGCCGAGCGATACGGATCCCGCGAGGAGACGCCAAATTGGTATCTTTCACTCGCCCAATTATATCTCGTGAAAACTCAAGAGTCCATTGTGATCTCTCAGTATGTCATTTTTATGGCCAGTATTGTGAGTCGAACTTTCTATTGCTGAAAATTAAAAAAAATTGAACACCTGCTTCATAACTCAAAAGAATAATTAACATCTTCACTTTGTGTATAATGATATAGCGTGTTCATTTTCCACTTGAGCACTTCCGAAGAAAGAATTTTCCGTTTTAAGACACGCACTTTAGATGCTAATACACCGTCCGTCGTCATGACAAAACAACATTTCCAATTCAGCAACTCACGCGATGAACTGCTATTTTACAAGAAGCCTGTCGATGTCCTGATGAATTTGCGCACGATAATATAATTTGCATCAATACAGGCACGAGGGGCACTTGAAAAGCGTATTATTGATACTGGAGGATCTTAGACAGCCCGGTTTTGAGGAAGAGCAATTTTAACGCGTTCGAAACGCCTTTTATGTCTCTGTTATCTGGAAGCCCGATGTAGAAGACTGAGTTAAATAACGTTGTACGGAGCGAGATCACCATCATCATGCACAGTTGCTTACCCAGGAAAAAGATGCCTTCGTGCAACAAAACGGTAGAGAAGAGGTTGGAAAAGGACAGAAAGGAAGAATATCATGAAAGGGTAAGTATAATCGCAGAGACTATCCTTGAACTAGAGCGTTCGTATCTTTAGTACGCACGGCTGGTTGAAATCTGCAGCTGAAATATTCAAAACTCTTTTACTGTATCGTGAGTAGCCTCAATATTTCGGAAACCCAACCTTGGGCGTTTTTCCTGGCGACAAAGAAGATTTTAGCTACTTATTTTAAATCTATCTTTAGGTCAAGAGATTTATTTACTCACAAAACAAAAGTAAATATCGGGGTCAATAATGAATATAACAGCAACCAATTATGAGTACGTATTTGATCTTAACTGCAAGTCCGTGTATAGTCGAACTTAAACGGACTCGCGCCGTCATTCTCTAGCGTGCATGTACTTCATTATAATCCTCCAAAAACACAAGTTCATTTCCTGCATGCCAAGTAAACAGCGAACCTTATAACGATGGCCACTAATTTGGGCCAAGATCAGGCCGGGCTCAGTTCATATCAAATCAGGAATTTTTTCATTACGATATACATTATAAGTGACCATAACAATTTGAAGAGCTTGCATGAATTTTGTTTTTCAAAATTATGTTCTTTTTATTATCTGAGGAAGAAATTCTGTTTGGAGAACCATACATCAAATCAAATCAATACTCCCGTCTAAATGCTCTTCAATTTGCAGGGAACTAGTTATACTAACTCTTGCCATGTTTTTCCTCCTTATTATGTAATAATTTATATCAATATACCTAGCCTCAGTATAGTATCCGTAGAATAGTAATATCCATGATATACAGTAACTACAGTAAGTCGTACCCAGAAAAACTCTAACATTTATTGCCCGTTTACCGGAAATTGATAATTTCGTTGTTTGTCTGAGCTGTGCTAAAACACTGCTGACTAAGCTATNCATTATAATCCTCCAAAAACACAAGTTCATTTCCTGCATGCCAAGTAAACAGCGAACCTTATAACGATGGCCACTAATTTGGGCCAAGATCAGGCCGGGCTCAGTTCATATCAAATCAGGAATTTTTTCATTACGATATACATTATAAGTGACCATAACAATTTGAAGAGCTTGCATGAATTTTGTTTTTCAAAATTATGTTCTTTTTATTATCTGAGGAAGAAATTCTGTTTGGAGAACCATACATCAAATCAAATCAATACTCCCGTCTAAATGCTCTTCAATTTGCAGGGAACTAGTTATACTAACTCTTGCCATGTTTTTCCTCCTTATTATGTAATAATTTATATCAATATACCTAGCCTCAGTATAGTATCCGTAGAATAGTAATATCCATGATATACAGTAACTACAGTAAGTCGTACCCAGAAAAACTCTAACATTTATTGCCCGTTTACCGGAAATTGATAATTTCGTTGTTTGTCTGAGCTGTGCTAAAACACTGCTGACTAAGCTATCAGTCTAGTGGAAGAATTTTTATTGACCGGAAAATTTAATACGATTGAATATTTAGCGACTTAGAATGCTAGAAACATCTAAACATGTCGTGTAGAGCTAGAGATATACTGAAACGCTACACTGGGTTCCAGAGGATATTTTTTTGTTTATATCGATACTGATAGTTCCCGGCAAAGCCGCGTCAACGATCAGGCGCGACCAGGCGCGAAACGGCTAGAGAAAAAAATTGCATGTTCAAACCGTAAGCACGCTTTAGTTCATATTAGGTGTTTTCAGAACGGACCTCTGGAGCCAGGGTGCTGAAACGCATAAACCTGATAATTTTTTTTTCAGAATTGATTTGAATCAGTAAAATTCCTCGTCGGATATGGTAATGCAACGCTTTCTTCATAGACGAGTAAAAAATCACTTTTCTATATTTTCGACCCTTTTTGGGTGAATTAATACACTAAATTAGCAGATCTGCGCATTTGTTTCATTTCTTATCTGCTTTTCTGAATCGCACTTTTTAAAAATTTTCTTTCTTAACTTGCTGGGCTTACAAGCAATTATGCCCCAGTACGCAAGCGCGCACTTGACGCAAAGTGGGTAACGCAATTGGTCACGCATATATTGGGCCTTTCCCGTACGTGTAAAAAGGTGAATTTCAGAATATAATAGATTGCATTTCGATTAGCTATCTGGCGAGCTCATTTAACTAGGCAACGATAATTACTGGGTATCTGTCCACTTTAGAAAATATTTGACCCCGGTGATGACTCCACTCGGTTAATTCCCAGTCCTAATCGAGTTGCTAAGTGGATCTGTTTCCTCGAGACGAAACGGCTCGAGAGGCTTTGATTTGGATTTGAATAACAAAGACAATTCCCACTTCGTCGCTAAAACAATCATGATGACAAACCAAAAGACTGTTTTCGTGTCATTTCCTATTTTGCTCATGTGAAGAATTATTGTTAAAGGCGAAGGTAAAGACGACCTAACAGGTTGGTCAGCAGTTTCGGATCATCGTCCGGTCGATTGTCAACATAACCTCTAGATTTGCGGTAAATATTTGACGATCGAAGAAATATAAACACAAAACTCTTGATGAGCAAACAGTAGAAACACAAGATGAGTGGCAGTATACGAAGCAATCCTATCGAACGAAGATTCAGAAGGCGACAAACTGAAGATTATCATCAACGGGTATGTAGAAATCGTTCGTGCGATCTTTACAAGAACGGTTTGAGTGTCGGTTACAGTCGATGTTTTTATTTCAGTTAATAGTAATCACAGCTGTTAACCATTGCGTTTTAGAATTCGCTTCTACCTTTACGTAACTGTTAGTTAACTGAAGGACATCGATCGTGTACTTGTTTTACTTCGTCTCGGCGAGGCGCAAACTATGATCTTCCGATATAAACATGCTGTAGATCGAAGTGAATTTTAATACGGCGCACCGTGGCGTGAAAGTTAACGTTCTACATGTAGATCTCATATCGATCTTGTATATGAAGCCAATATAATTGATTGGAACAGTTGTGAGAAAAAAAAGACCAGACGGCGTTTTGCCAGGTTAAATGATATCAAATCAATTATGTGCAGTATTTTAAAGTGCTCGTCCTTAATACATGCAATATCATCCAGCAGATTTTTAAATTTACTTTCTTCCGTATTTGGTGCTTGTCAAATAGTAAAAACATCATTAATATTAGTATGTATTTATATAAGATCAATTTATATCCTCGAATGAAATGTGTAAGAGTAGAGACATTTTAAAAACCCTTGACTGAAGTATATTTTCACCTCTTCTGTTAAATATTTACATAATTTTAATTTACTTTCTGTCATGGCAACAAAACGAATTTAGAAAACGAGTTTGTTGTTCCAAATTACGCTCAACTCTATAATCTTTGTAATTTGATCTACTTGTTAATTTTAGCTGCAAAATGTCAAGCCATTCCTTGATATAACACCACCAAAAGAACATCAACACCTTCAGTTATCTGTAAAAAAGCTACAGGTAAGGCACTTTAATTTTTTGTTAGCGGAAATGTCTTAATAACACATTGCCCAATATCCAGAAATGTACTTGCCTTTTTATTACATAAGACTGAGAAAGAGAAATACAGTATAACTGGAATATATACTTTAACTGAGCAGAACTTTAACGAATTAGTTTTTTTTTTTGCGTCCTAACCTAAGTGATGATGAGATCATTGAGGCCCATGCCCAGAGCATCTACCATGACAGAGTTTTCTAACAAATTCAGGCAAGTTCTAGAAGTATCTGAATTTCTTCTGAGTCTACTTTTAATTGTTCCACAGATGCAGCAGGAAAGACAGGCTGCCATTGATCGACAGAATGAAGTGATTCTTTCAGCACTGATGAAAATCAAACAGTCACCTGCCAGGGTAGACCATTGGAAAAAGGACTGGAAACCAAGGTTTGTTAATTAATTACCGTATTTATTCGATTAACCGCCCTGGGCGCTTATTAAATTTTTTGACCTTGAGAGTTTTTCGCTTATTCGAGTTGGGCGCCTATTCCAGGCTGGGCGCTCATTAAATTTTCACCATTCTCAGCAAGTGTAGTAGTATATTTTGCAACAAAACAGTAAATGCTAATTACAAAAAGCGAAGATGCAACAAAACAAGGTTTCTGTAAAATACTCTGAAGAAAACTCCGTCTTCGGGAGGGTCTCTTATTATCTCTTATTGGAGTTTTGTGGGAGGGAGTAGGGGGGCGCTTATTCGAGGCTGGGCGCTTATTAACTTTTTCTGCCTTTAGGATGGGCGCTTACTTGAGGTGGGCGCTAATTCGAGGTTGGGCGCTTAATCGAACAAATACCGTAAATGTTANGAAGTATCTGAATTTCTTCTGAGTCTACTTTTAATTGTTCCACAGATGCAGCAGGAAAGACAGGCTGCCATTGATCGACAGAATGAAGTGATTCTTTCAGCACTGATGAAAATCAAACAGTCACCTGCCAGGGTAGACCATTGGAAAAAGGACTGGAAACCAAGGTTTGTTAATTAATTACCGTATTTATTCGATTAACCGCCCTGGGCGCTTATTAAATTTTTTGACCTTGAGAGTTTTTCGCTTATTCGAGTTGGGCGCCTATTCCAGGCTGGGCGCTCATTAAATTTTCACCATTCTCAGCAAGTGTAGTAGTATATTTTGCAACAAAACAGTAAATGCTAATTACAAAAAGCGAAGATGCAACAAAACAAGGTTTCTGTAAAATACTCTGAAGAAAACTCCGTCTTCGGGAGGGTCTCTTATTATCTCTTATTGGAGTTTTGTGGGAGGGAGTAGGGGGGCGCTTATTCGAGGCTGGGCGCTTATTAACTTTTTCTGCCTTTAGGATGGGCGCTTACTTGAGGTGGGCGCTAATTCGAGGTTGGGCGCTTAATCGAACAAATACCGTAAATGTTACAGAACTATGGACTGACCGACTTACAAGTGACTGTGACTTTGAATGGCTGACTGACGGACTGATATAACGATGGACTGTTGGCTGATTGACTCACTGAGTGAGTGGCTAACCGGTAACACGCCGGCTGACGTTCTTAGGGCATCGACGTCACGCGCTCCTTGGTTGCGATTAGAGGGGGGCGGGGGGCTGCATGAGGAGCCAAAAGAACGTCTGCGTGGGAGGCTATAGCTGACTGACTGACTGATCGAACGACGGTACTAAAGGCAGACTGGCTAACTTACTGAACGACGTATATACTGCAGGCTGGCGGACTGAATGCTCTTTGCTGAACGAAGTACTGCAGGCTGACTGGCTAACTGATTTTACAAAGTACCACAGGCTAGACTGACTAGGGAGCTTCAGCCTAGTAGCATTGACGGCGACGACGGCAGAGAAAATAATCACTTTTAAAACGAATTCACGTGTTTTTCAATGGCTTCGTCGCGTTTTTTTTTCGATTCGCAGAAAATGTCAAATGAAGGCGAATTTCCCTGCAATTGATTTCTTGGGGATCGGTCGAACAATTAGGACCCGTGCTCAGATTTAGAGAGAGAAAGAAAAATTCGTCGTTGCGTGTTTACGTCCTCCATAAAACGTGAAATAAGGCACTTTCGCGTCGTAGTCTTGTAGGGACGGCAAAGAAATGTTCACAAACATGTCATGCACATGCAAAGTTGTTGTTTTGCTCTTCAAACCTATTGCTTTTTTTACGTTCTCGTTGCTGTCGCCGACGTCGTTGCTAAAGATGGAGTGCAACCTGACTAACTGACTGACTTCTGCTGCTTGGACGATTGTGACCGCAGGCTGACTTGCTCACTGATTGAACGACGGATAGAAGGCCAACCAGTGGCTGAGTGACTGTGTTTAACTCAATGACTTACTGCAGGTCTGACATGTTTTCGACCAGGGACCCGTTCACCTTGCTGCGTTTTCGTTTAAAAACGCGTACGTTTAGATGCGTTTAGACCTTCTTTCCACGTCACAAGCCTCAGTATAGTATCCGTAGAATAGTAATATCCATGATATACAGTAACTACAGTAAGTCGTACCCAGAAAAACTCTAACATTTATTGCCCGTTTACCGGAAATTGATAATTTCGTTGTTTGTCTGAGCTGGGCTAAAACACTGCTGACTAAGCTATATCTAGTGGAAGCGTTTTTATTGACCGGAAAATGTAATACGATTGAATATTTAGGGACTAAGAATGCTAGAAACATCTAAACATGTCGTGTAGAGCCAGAGATATACTGAAACGCTACACTGGGTTCCAGAGGATATTTTTTTGTTTTTATCGATACTGATAGTTCCCGGAGAAGCCGCGTCAACGATCAGTCGCGAACAGGCGCGAAAAGGCGAGAGAAAAAAATTGCATGATCAAACCGTAAGCACGGTTTATTTCACATTAGGTATTTTCAGAACGGACCTCTGGAGCCAGGGTGCTGAAGCGCATAAACCTGATAATTTTTTTTTCAGAATTCATTTGAATCAGTTAAAATTCCTCGTCGGATATGGCAGATGCAATGCATGCTTTCTTCATAGACGAGTAAAAATACACTTTTCTAAATTTTCCACCCTTTTTGGGTGAATTAATACACTAAATTAGCAGATCTGCGCATTTGTTTCATTTCTTATCTGCTTTTCTGAATCGCACTTTTTAAAAATCTTCTTTCTTAACTTGCTGGGCTTACAAGCAATTGTGTCCTAGTACGCAGGCGCCCGGGCCACACTCAGCGCAAAGTGGGTAACGCAATTGGTCACGCATGTATTTGGCCTTTGCCGTACGTGTAACAATAAAAATGAATTTCAGAATATAATAGATTGTATTTCGGTTAGCTATCTGGCGAGCTCATTTAACTAGACTACGATAATTACTGGGTATCTGTCCACTTTAGAAAATATTTGACCCCGGTGATGACTCCACTCGGTTAATTCCCAGTCCTAATCGAGTTGCTAAGTGGATCTGTTTCCTCGAGACGAAACGGCTCGAGAGGTTTTGATTTGAATTTGAATAACAAAGACAATTCCCACTTCGTCGCTAAAACAATCATGATGACAAACCAAAAGACTGTTTTCGTATCATTTCCTATTTTGCTCATGTGAAGAATTTTTGTTAAAGGCGAAGGTAAAGACGACCTAACACGTTGGTCAGCAGTTTCGGATCATCGTCCGGTCGATTGTCAACATAACCTCTAGATTTGCGGTAAATATTTGACGATCGAAGAAATATAAACACAAAACTCTTGATGAGCAAACAGTAGAAACACGAGATGAGTGGCAGTATACGAAGCAATCCTATCGAAAGAAGATTCAGAAGGCGACAAACTGAAGATTATCATCAACGGGTATGTAGAAATCGTTCGTGCGATCTTTACAAAAACGGTTTGAGTGTCGGTTACAGTCGATGTTTTTATTTCAGTTAATAGTAATCACAGCTGTAAACCATTGCGTTTTTTAATTCGCTTCTACCTTTACGTAACTGTTAGTTAACTGAATGACATCGATCGTGTACTTGTTTTACTTCGTCTCGGCGAGGCGCAAACTATGATCTTCCGATATCAACATACTGTAGATCGAAGTGAATTTTAATACGGCGCACCGGCGTGAGCGTTCTACATGTAGATCTCATATCGAGCTTGTATATGAAGCCAATATAATTGATTGGAACAGTTGTAAGAAAAAAAAATACCAGACGGCGTTTTGCCAGGTTAAATGATATCAAATCAATTATGTGCAGTAAGTGTTCGTCCTTCATACATGCAATATCATCCGGCAGATTTGTTAATTCAGTTGCTTCCGTATTTGGTGCCTGTCAAATAGTAAAAACATTATTAATATTAGTATGTATTTATACAGGATCGATTTATATCCGCGAGGGAAATGTGTAAGAGTAGAGACATTTTAAAAACCCTTGAGTGAAGTATATTTTCACCTTATCTGTTAAATATTTACATAATTTTAATTTACTTTCTGTCATGGCAACAAAACGAATTTGGAAAACGAGTTTGTTGCTCCAAATTACGCTCAACTCTATAATCTTTGTAATTTGATGTACTTGTTAATTTTAGCTGCAAAATGTCAAGCCATTCCTTGATATTACACCACCAAAAGAACATCAACACCTTCAGTTATCTGTAAAAAAGCTACAGGTAAGGCACTTTAATTTTTTGTTGGCGGAAGTCTTAATAACACATTGCCCAATATTCAGGAATGTACTCTTTTATTGCATAAGACTGAGAAAGAGAAATATAACTGGAATATGGTTTAACTGAGCCGAACTTAAACGAATTAGTTTTTTTGCGTCCTAACCTAAGCGATTATGGTATTAAGTTGAGGCCTATGCCCAGAGCATCTACCATGACAGAGTTTTCTAACAAATTCAAGTTTTAGAAGTATCTGAATTTCTTCTGAGTCTACTTTTAATTGTTCCACAGATGCAGCAGGAAAGACAGGCTGCCATTGATCGACAGAATGAAGTGATTCTTTCAGCACTGATGAAAATCAAACAGTCACCTGCC